ATAGAAGAGAAATAGAAACTGTTGAGCACGTACTCTTGCACTGTGAATTGTTAAATGACATTCGAGTGGAATTTATAGAAGCCCCCCTTTACTTTGGTAGCAGGCCAATCGGATAGAATCAAGGTACAATTTCTCCTTGCTTCACGAGATCCGGAGATCATTGAACTGACCGCTAAGTTTCTCCATTGTTTTATAAAACGGAAGAGTGACCCTGATCATATTAATGATTCTTCTTCAATACAATATTAAAAAAAACATATTAATGATTCTTAATTTATAAGTCTAAAAACTTAAGTTTAAAAGTTTAGAATGCCAATTTATTTTTTGATTCAGGCATCTTTTGTATGGTCAAATCTAGCTTGTGACAACTTGAGTTAGGCCTGACATAGCCACGACTATCTATTTTATAATTTCTTTTGGATTGTATTATTGGGAAATGCTTCTAATATTGTATGCCAATAAAAGGTATTTGAATTTGAAATTTGAGTGTTTGAGGAAAGTGAACGCACTACCAAACTTACTCAGCCTCTCTTGGAACGGTACATCAGTCACCGATTGAAACCAGTGACCACTAATGTGACTGCAGCACACTGGTTTTGAGTTTGTGAGCTATGGTTCTTAGATCTCTTTTCTGGCCCTGTCCTTTTTTTAAAAAAAAATTCTTTATGTTTCTGTTCTTTCTCTCTCTTTTTCACTCTCTAGGGTGGCAAGATCCCGATTCGCTGGACAGCCCCAGAAGCTATCCAGTATCGCAAATTCACATCCTCCAGTGACGTGTGGAGCTATGGCATTGTGATGTGGGAGGTCATGTCTTACGGCGAAAGACCCTATTGGGACATGTCAAATCAAGATGTGAGTCCTAGTATGAAAGCAGTCCCTATCCACCCACCCCGTTTTCTTGTGTTTTGAACAAAACCTGCTGTTGGAGGACTCTGATGAATGCCTGAGATAAGACGCGTCATTCTGACTCATGTCTTCAATCCTTCTAGGTTATTAACGCTATCGACCAGGATTATCGGCTGCCACCTCCCCCGGACTGCCCCACTGTCTTGCACTTGCTGATGCTGGACTGCTGGCAGAAGGAACGGGTCCAGAGGCCCAAATTTGAGCAGATTGTTAACGCCTTGGACAAGATGATCCGCAAGCCATCCGCCCTCAAAGCCACAGGCACAGGGAACAGCAGGTGGGATGGGGGTAATGGGAAAGTAGACCGAGGGGCGTTGAGTTTCGGGCTTCTCCTGCAAACAGAAAGGGATGAGGGAGGGCTGTGGATCTGAAGGCAGAGAAAGAGACTTCTGTCTGCCTCATGGATTCTGCTACCTACTTCTTACTTGCTTTTTGGTTTATGGATGTGTTTAAAGTGTCCAGTTTTTAAGCAGAACTGGGACAGCCTGTGCGAGGGATTTGAAATGCCTTTCTTTTTAATTCGTTTTTTTTTTTAAAAAAAATTATTATCATTATTTTTGTTTTAATAAATTATTTGTTTGTTTATATGATGTTAGTTTATTCTTTTTGCAAGCCTCCCCGGTGGCCTTTTTTAAAAAGGAGAAGGTGGGGCACAGCTCTTAACACAAATACTGTAGACAGAAGCGGTATTCTCGTAAGAAATCCAGAATACGCACCTGACATATACGATCAAAAATATATATATTGTGCAATTTGCTTTTTGCACTTGGAGGGATCCAGAATGTGTGCGTGATCCAAAACAAATGGTCAGAAATATATTGTGCAATTCTCTTTTGTGCTTGGAAGAGTCGAACATTTCAAATCGTTTGGAATAAGTGCAATTAGGAAAGAAAAGGATTCAAGGGGGAGGGGGCATGAAGTATCATGAGCATAGCTACTTGTCAAAATGGGAACAGAACATCTATAGGTGAAAATCTCTTTGACCCCCAAACTCCATGCCAAGTCGGAACTCCACTTCCTGAGTCTTCACCAGACACATCTTATTATTTCCCGTGCCTGTCCTCAAGATAGTTTGCTTATGTGTGTAAAGAGCCGTCTAGTCACAGCTGACCTATGGCAACCCCAGCAAGGGGCTTGCAAGGCAAGCGAGAAGCAGGGGTGGTCGGCCATTGCCGTGGGTCTCCCTTCCAAGTACTGACTCTGCTTAGTTTCCAAGATCTGATAAGACTGGGCTATACCAGGCAGCCTTGCTTCCCATGATCGTTTGAGGGGACAAAAAATAAATGTTGATCATGCATAGCCTTCACTGAACACTTTTTTTCTAAGTGCTTAAACACTGTGCTTACAACAGCCTTGCAAGGCAGCCCAGCATCATCATCCCATGTGTTACTAATAGGGGAGGTGAGATTTTGGAAACAGTGGCTTGCTTGCAGCCGCCTACTGAGTTTGTGGCTGAGGTGAGGGTAATTAATTATCTTTTTTTAAAAAAAAAAACCCCAAAGGGATATTTTTTATTTTGCAATTGACTACAAACTACAAAGAAAGTTATAAGAAGGGGGCTACAACTATGGATAAAGGAAAGCAAACCACACTATGCTAAAACCCCAAGAGGAGGAGATCTTATCTCTGTTAATATGAGTGTTAATATTATAAGTGTTAATATCACAATATGCTTGTTGAGTTCTTGTTTATCTTAGCTTCAATGTTTATATGTTAATATGTTAGTTGTTATGAGAGAACTTTCTGATCATCTTCTTATTCTTCGCTTCAAAAGGCCATTTTCCGAGTCCTTCTGCCTTTACTTCGGCTTTGTGTCTCTAAAGTCGTATACAACTCTGGCTGGACCTGCACCCATTTCTGCAGCAGAGTCCTCTTCCGTTCCAGAGGTGGCAGAGTCACTAGATTTCGTTTCTTCCTCTTTAGACTCTTCCTCTGTTCCCAGCTGATGCCATAAAAACTCTTTGGCTTTAAAAAATGGAGTCAATCTTCTCTCTTTTGTCGTTGATCTTAAAGATGACACCCTCCGGGACCGCCCATCTATACGATATTCCATTGGTTTGAAAGAAAGAGATTAAGTCTTTATAATTTTTCCTCTTTTGTCGAATTTCAAATGGAATGTCTTTTAAGGTTTTGATGATTACATTTCCCATTTTCAGTGGAGTTGCTGATGTCGCTTTTAAGATAGCATCTCTGGTCTGTCTTCTTGAGAATCTGACCACTATTTCTCCAGGCAGGCTATTTTTTTTTTAATATAATTGGAGTATACCCTGTAGGCTGACTCCATTTCTTTTACAAGCTCATCCGCTGTTAAGCCTATTACTGGAGCGATGATCTCGCTAAGCACAGGGTAATTAATTATCATACATGTAGAATAGCCAGGAGATCTTAAGATGGTCTGGCAGCTCTGGCAGCCAGAAGTTCTAGCTCTTTTTTAGTATTATGCACCACTAGGTGGTGAGCTAGACTTGTTTTAAGGCTGCATCTCAGCTCTGGTATTCCTTGGAGGTTGCCCTTCCAAATACTTGCCAAGGCTGACCCTGCTTAGTTTCCGGGATCTAATGGGATCATGCTAGCCTGGGCTATCCAGGTCAGGGTGCTCAGGTGTGAACCAGGAACTTCCAGGATCAAACCCCATAAGCCACATGAGCAAGCCATTTTGAGCTCACACCCACAAGCAGCACACAAAATAGCCATGCCCCTGATGACTTTTTTTAAGGATGTTAAGCAAAGAGAGTCTCTGAGGGAGGAAATATGTGGGACAAGAGCAGTCTTTTGGGGCAGAACGGAGGAGTGAAGCTGCAGGAGCATATTTGGGACCTGGAGAAAAGAGCAAGAGGCTCCTTGGCAAAAGCCGGCGGGCTCCGTTTGGAAACCTCTCTGTTCACATCTGCCTTTCTCAGCGTCACAGAGCCCAGATGTTCAGTGTCAGCAAAGAGTTGGTCCCCAGGGAGAGATTTAGGCAGGATTATATGACTTCAGATTGGAGGACGGAAATGTATCCTGCTACCGTGGAGGAATTTTCCCATGGGTATAACCAGTTTTTGAGGCTGCAGAAAGGACACACACACACACACACAAATAAATGTATACAGTTTGTTAAAATGCTGATCTAAATGCAGAGCAAGACCTTTCACAGCAACCCAAACTATAAGACGAGGAAATGTGTAGCAGAAAGAGTAGAGGCAAGCACAGATTCTCTGACTGTGTTCAGTCTTGGGCTGCATCCACGTGGCTGTTCAGAAGGCAAAGTGGAGCAAAAGTGGAGTAGTGTTTTTTGGAGGAGTCACACAATGTCTTCCTACAGTTATTGTCTTTTTTTGGTTTCTTCTCCCCAACCTTTGTTTCCCAGACCTGCTTTGTTGTGATCTTTCCTGAAATACAGCAGTCAAAGAGGGTTGGCATCAATGTTCCCTCTAAGCTGAGTTAGTGTGAGCTAGCTCACTGTTTTTTAGCCTCCGGCTCACACGTTTTTGTCTTAGTTCAGGAAGGAGGGCTCCAGAGCAAACCAATTTATGCAGTAGCCAAATCACCTGCTCATGACTTTAATGCCAGTGGCTCACAAAGTTGAGCAAAAAGCTCACAAGACTCCATAGCTTAGAGGGAACATTGGTTGGCATGCCCTCTGGAAGGGAAGGTGCACATTTTTTTTAACCTCCTGTCCAATGCTCCCTCTAAGCTGTGGAGTCTTGTGAGCCAAAATTCTACCTTGTGAGCTATCAGCATTAAAGTTGTGAGCAAGTGGTTTGGCTAATGCATAAATTAGTTTGCTCTGGAGCCCTCCTTCCTGAGCTAAGACGAAAATGTGTGAGCCGGGGGCTAAAAAACTGTGAGCTAGCTCACACTAACTCAGCTTAGAGGGAACACTGCTCCTGTCTGCATTTGTACCATTTTTATTGCCATCATGTCCTTGACACCCAACCATTTCTCTCCCTCCATGCCTTCTACTGGAGGGCTGTTTTGCTGGCTTAAAGAAAAGTAGGTAGTTGCTGTCTCACTGCCCTGACCTTGATAGCCCAGGCTAGCCCGATCTCGTCAGATCTCAGAAGCTAACCAAAGTCAGACATGGTTAATATTTGGATGGGGAAACCACCAAGGGTTGCTATGCAGAGGTAGACAATGGCAAACCACCTCTGAATTTCTCTTGCCTGGAAAACCCTATGGGGTCAGGAACCTAGAAGCCGGAGCAGCTAGACAAAAGAATAAGATACATCTATTTATTACAAAGTGCACAGTAAATATAGATTAGAAACATAGATAAAAAACCACGAGGTCGTGGGTATCACATTGCATCCACATAGCATACGGCAACACATGTAAGTTGCACGTAACCAAAACATTGGTTACACAAAATGACCTCTAGACCAGATGCATTTCAGCCCAGAGGGCCTTCTTCAGTAGTCTAAATAACAACAACACACACTAGAAGTGTAAGTAAAAAATATCTGTTCCAGACCAGGCAAGGTTGTGTGTGAATCAACTGAATAGTTTCGCTCCAAATAATAAAGTACTGATGTCCATCAGGCCTGAACACATAGAGAAGCCCACGCCCATCAAAGATGATAGCTCTGTACAACCATAGTGCCCTTGGCTATTGCTCTGCTCAAAGGGTGTGTGTGTCCATGTGTCAACCAAAAGTGAAGGGAATCTTAAGAATGGTCACAGGAAGTGCTTGCTTTGGCAGCACGTAGAGATGTAAAATTTCTGGAAATTTTGAAGCTCGGAAAAAAACTGAAATTTTCAGATAAATTGAAAAAAATGTACACAAATTTGTGAAGCAAAACGGACGCAAAATTCTGGAGAAAATATACATATGAGTCAGTGGGAAAATCTCTGGACTAAAAAAATTTAAGTTTACTGAATATCAAATACCAAGGGAGAACTGTTATAAAATGTTTGTTTGTTTTTCTTTCAAATTTATATTTTGCCCTCCCCATGAATGGCCTCAGGGTAGATCACAACAAATAATTAGGCCATTCAGCATCATAAAAATGCAATAATAAATAGTACATTAAAACACGGAATTTAAAAACAGATCGCAGCAAATATTGCACAGTCTCCGATACTGGTTCCGCTGGACTCTTGTTTAATCCAGTCCATATAGAAATGGTGTATTTTGATAGTACCCCTAAAGATGTAGCAAAAGCAATTATATAATGAGAAGAGCTGGAAATGTCAGAATACAGATGCAAGATTCTATCATATGTGGTAGACGTGCAAAAAATACTGGATAGAGATACATGAAGAAATGAAGAAGACATTAAAACTTAAGTTTGCAATGGATGTGAAAAGTATGCTATTAAATATCTTACCAAGCAATATAACAAAAATACACCGTGCATTATTTAAATGATACAGAGAAGATTAGCATGGCCCCTGTGTAAGGATGACACACAAATTTGTGAAGCAAAATGGATGCAAAATTCTGGAGAAAATATACATATGAGTCTGTGGGAAAATCTCTGGACTAAAAAAATTAAGTTTACTGAATATCAAATACTAAGGGAGAGCTGGTATAAAATGTTTGTTTGTTTTTCTTTCAAATTTATATTTTGCCCTCCCCATGAATGGCCTCAGGGTAGATCACAACAAATAATTAGGCCATTCAGCATCATAAAAATGCAATAATAAATAGTACATTAAAACACGGAATTTAAAAACAGATCGCAGCAAATATTGCACAGTCTCCGATACTGGTTCCGCTGGACTCTTGTTTAATCCAGTCCACGTAGAAATGGTGTATTTAGATAGTACCCCTAAAGATGTAGCAAAAGCAATTAAAGACTATAATGAGAAGAGCTGGAAATGTCAGAATACAGAAGCAAGATTCTATCATATGCGGTAGACGTGCAAAAAAAATACTGGATAGAGATACATGAAGAAATGAAGAAGACATTAAAACTTAAGTTTGCAATGGATGTGAAAAGTATGCTATTAAATATCTTACCAAGCAATATAACAAAAATACACCGTGCATTATTTAAATATATGGTGACAGCACCAAGAGTAATATTTGCGGCAAAACGGAAAGCAGCAAATTGTCCAGACTTGGAGGAATGGAGGAATAAACTGAATGAATATGCGACAGTGGCAAAGTTAACAGCTTTCATTCATAATTGACCAATTTCAGAATTTCAAGAGAAATTGAGTTTCTTTTTAACTATGTAGCTGAAAGAATAAAATTAAATTAAAACAGAGAATGATAGAAAGAAAGATAGATTGGGGTAATACATGTTTATAATGAAAATGTTTTTAGATATGAAGGTAGATGGAAAAGATAGAAAAGGTATTTAAAACAGAAGTGAAATTTTAAATATTAAAAAGTAAACAAGTCAGTTTATATGGCTGTGTTCACACACACTAAATAATCCACTTTCAATCCATTTTCAGGGCACTTTCCAACTGGATTTTGCCAGTTCACACAGTAAAATCCAGTTGAAAAGTATACTGAAAGTGGATTATTTAGTGTGTGTGTGAACACAGCCCATAATGTATGTAAATGTACGATTTTGAGTATAGTTGGACATCAGCACTCAGCATTTGATTGTATTTGGCTTTGTAAACTTGTAAAGGGTGAAAGGAAGGCACCCCAAAGCATTCAGGGGGCTCTTGAGAGACATGCAGTTGTGCACTGGCATTGTTTCCTGGTGTGCAACTGCTGCACCATTGAACACACAATGCCTTGTTCCTTCCAGCATTCTTAGAGGCTGGGGTGGATGGCGCAGTTGCAAAGTGTTTCATGTGCTTTTTCAACATTGTTTCTTTCTTTGCAGGCCGTCCCAGCACCTGCTGAGCAACTCACCCCCTGATTTCCCATCCCTGACCAATGCCCATGAGTGGCTGGATGCCATTAAAATGGGTCGCTACAAGGAGAACTTTGACCAGGCGGGCCTGACAACCTTTGACGTCATCTCCCGCATGACTTTAGAGTAAGAGCCGTTTCACATGTTACATGGCAGTTTGCAGTTGACTGTACCTTGACAGGGAACTGAAGCTAATCTTTGCTCCCTTGTGGTTGATAAACGAATTTCCAAAACATGCCTTTATCTGATTGTCCCATTATATTTTAATAATGTAGAGCTAGACTGGGGACTGGGGAGAAATGCCCTCCACTGTAACGTTTACTCCAATAATTCACTAATTGGGCTTACACTGTATCCATGTTTTAGGAGTCCTATTGCAAATCTGTAGCTGGCAAAGAAGACAGGAGTACCAGGAATGATGGGAATGACACATCCATCCCTCAAGCACAGAGCACTCAAGTTCTTAGTTGTGCAAATGGCAGGCCAGGGGAAAATAAAGGGTTTGCCATCTCACACTTTGTTAGAATGTCACACCTCAGGGGACAGAGTCCTGCACAGCCAATTGGCTAGATTGTTTTCTCTTCCTGTTTTGACAGGAAGATCAGAAGGGGGGAGGGCAGAATAGACTCTCCAGTAAGAGATTATAAATTCCCAGGACACAGGAAAGAAGCTCTTAGTATACAGGTTCCAACCAAAGAGTCACAGCCATAAAGGATGACACATTTACCTAGGGACTGCATCTTGCCCACATGGTGAGAGATGATGGGGACAAGTCCCAGCTCTGAGACCTGAGGTAATGATGGGCTTTTTAAATCCTGCAGCTTCAAGAAATACTAGCCTGTTCTATTCAAATATTGTTTACGATAAATGGGAGAGAGGATTATATGTTTTCACCTTTTCTTTGTATCCTTGCTTAGCCTGATGCAGAAACAAACCGTGTATACTCTTTTTAATTTTTGTTCATTAAATGTTCTTGTGTTTTGAATGTTCCAGGTCTGATCTCTGTAAATACAGCACACCTCTTCAGTGTTGCTGTCTAAAGAGTGGTAAAGGGGAGGGGCAGTGGGTAAACATGCCATCTCTTAAGTATGATAGCTCCAAAGTGCGATCAGTCATACCCACACTAATTAGTACGAGTAAAGCAGGAGACACAGCAGCTAGGCAGAGCCTTTCAGTGGCAATGCAGATGCAAAGTTCTGGATGTGTGAGTTATCTAGCAGGAGATGCTCTCAGATTTGATGACGACAGTGGTTACAACCCAGTTTGATTGTGAAGAACAGAAAAGATTGCATTTATACCCTGCCCTTCACTACCCGAAGGAATCTCAGAGCGGCGTACAATCTCCTTTCCCTTCCCCTCCCCACAACAGACACCATGTGAGGTAGGGTGGGGCTAAGAGAGCTCTGAGAGAACTGCTCTTGAGATAGTAGCTCCAAAAGAACTTGTAACTGACCCACGGTCACACCAGCAGCTGCATGTGGAGTAGTGGGGATTCAAATCCAGTTCTCCCAGATTAGACTCCGCACTCCTAACCACTACACCAAACTTGGTACCTCTGGGAGTAAGAGAAATGGACGTCATTGTTAGGCAGAGACTTAAGATGGCTGTGGGGGTTTTCAGCCTGAAGGAATGGGCTTGTGAGACAGTTCGTCCATAAAAGACCTTTGGTTAGTCACTTTCTCACAGCCTAACCTATCTTGCAAGGCTGTTGTGAGGACAAAATAGGGTTGGGGGATGTAACAGATAGGTCAAAGTCGTGCCCAGTTCCTGAAAGCTACCAGTCTCCTTTTAAACCTGATGGGAATGTTCATTGAGCTGGAATCCGACCATCAGGGCCCTTGGAAACTTGACAGAGCAGATGGGAAGGGAGAGTAAAAAGCAGATAAATAGCTGGGGTTTTTTTTACTTCAGACAGGGTTTAACTGTCAGAAGGTTAGGGAACCTTTGACTAAGGAGGCTGTGCTAGGCTCAGAGTGTGTCTTCAGGGGACGCAGACGGGTAAAGGGTGGTGTCCAAGAGAGACTTACACTTGAGGATTCAGTCTTGTGTGTTAGCCCTTCAAGGCTGAGGGGAGCTGAAGTGTCAGACTGAAGTTCCATTTTTAAGCTCCCTGGAAATTCTGGTCTGGGAATCCAGACCTTCATCATTCTCTGTCACATAAAATGCATTGTTTGATACATAACTGTTTCATATGCCTTATGTCGAGAAGAAGCTGAGTTGCAGTTTACGTTTTCAAGACTCATTCATCATGCTTTAACCCTTTACAGTAAAAAAAATATTTTTTTTTAAAGAGTACTCTTTTTTACCTCAGGTTTTCTTTATGGTTTAGGGTGGACAAGGTATTTTCCTGATTAAAAACCAGAAACGGGGCCTAAAACAGCAGTGCATCTCAGCTGGACTGAGAGATGGCCTTGAAGAAAACTGGCACAGAATACCTCACATGTGATAGTTTTGATTCCTCTAGAATGCATTCGCTCATACTGAAAGGAAATGTATTTGATCAGTTTATTTGGGGTTGAGTTCACCCAGAGAAGGCTGAGGGTGGGAACAAATGAAATAATATCCACAGCATGCTACCTGAAGATCTGCCTTTTATATATATATACCCACATATCCCACGCAAGTAGGGTCTTCATGGGGAAATCTTATCTGCCACTTCAAGCTACTTGATAGAAGAGTGGGATCAAAGTGAAATAAGTAAAGTATGACGAGGTCTTTAAAAATATAAAAGTATTGTAACAGATAAAGAGTAAAGGCATTCTTGAGACTCCTTGCCTGAAAGATGAATTAAGTGATGTCTCAAAGACTTTCTTGGCAAACAGCACGGCATGGGGTAAAACCGTTTCTGGACAGCACTGCTTCGGACTTATTCCTTTCTTTATTATACTATTCCACCTTTCCTTGTGGTTCAAGGCCACTTACAGGAATAGTTAAAAACATTTCCAATTAAACCCAAATAAAATAACAACCCCCAAGGGGTTATGGGAATACCTGGTTCCACACAGGAAAACACATTTACACAGAGAAGTCAAGCTAGCGTAGAACGTGATGGGCTGCCTTAGCATGCAAGTTTTCTTTGTGTAGGAAGGGTTTTTTTTGTTTTGTTTTTAAAATGGATATTTCCCCCCAGTTACAGTATGAAACAGCATGTACCAGAAACAGTTCAATTTCGTGACACGTTGTAACTAGACAGTGCCATTGCTTTCTTCGTGGCCAGCATGAGGCAAAATCAGAGGGGACAGAATGTGTGCAAAGATCACAGATACCAGCGACTCTTCAGTCCAATCTGTTCAGTTCTCTTTCAGTTCCATTTCCTTCCAATTCTGACAGGCCAGGCAGGATCTACTCAAGAATAGGCTCTGGCCTCCCGCAGACAATCTGTGCAGAGTGTTTACTTGCCAGGAGTTAGCAAGTTGACTCAGCCATACTGAGAGGGGCAGCGAGAACTCCATTTCCCCCCTGAAGCTTAGAGTCTGTAGTAGAGGTGAAATCTCGGCAAGAGACACAGTGTGCCAAATGAAAGTGGGGCGGCCTTCCCGTTAACAGAACTGTATCTGATTAAGCAGCTGCCTTTAACTGGTTAAGTGATTTAAATGCATTTGCCTATTGCCAAATCATCAAGCAGTGCCCTTTTTGAGATACCAAAGGGTGAAGTAACCTACAGCTTCATAAAAGTTACCACTCATTTTCAGATGGAGAGGCATCCTTTCCTATTTTCATTTCTGACTTCCTGTTACAAAAACACAGCAGAACTGAAATAGTACACCCCCCCCAAAAAAAAATCCCTCATACAAATATGTCTTTGTATGTGTGTTTAAAGTGCCATTAAGTCACAGCCGACGTACGGCAACCCCAGCAAGGGGCTTTCAAGGCAAGTAAGAAGTAGAGGCAGTTTGCCCCTGCCTTCCTCTGCAGAGTCTTCCTTGGTGATCTCCCTTCCAATGACTGACCCTGCTTAGCTTCCAAGATCTGAGGAGATCAGGCGACACCATGCCACCTTCCCTTCCTAAGTATGCTTTTATGCCTCTCAGATTACTCTGACTGAATCAGTTAAAGCTTTAGCTTCTCGACTTGGGCAACTGAAATGAGTATCTAAATGGTCAGGCTGATTCTCTTGCCCTTTCTGGAGCCCTGCCCACCAAGAGCACCTCTGGTGTATACACCTCTCTGTGAACTTTTTCCTTACCGGTCCCTCTGGGCATTGTTTGCTTTCTGGCTCAGGGCAACCCATCGCTCCTCCTGTCCCGAGACCCTTCGTTTTCTTCTTCTTCTTAGATGAAATGGACTTTCTTCCTCCTTCACAATGATTTCCAATAGCCCATGGCTGACCCTTCCCCCTTGGTGGTGGAAAGTGCCTTCAAGTCACAGCCAAGTTATGGCAACCCCATAGAGTTTTCAAGGCAAGAGATGAACAGAGGTGGTTCTGCCATTGCCTCTACGTAGCAACCCGGACTTCCTTGGTGGTCTCCCATCCAAATACTAACCAGGGCGGATCCTGCTTAACTTCTGAGAGCCAAAGAGATAGGGCTAGCCATCCAGTTTGGTGTAGTGGTTAGAAACACAGACTCTGATCTGGGAGAACCGGGTTTGTTTCCAGACTCCTCCACATGCAGCTGCTGGTGGAACCTTGGGTAATCACGAGTTCTTTCAGAGGTGTTCTCTCACCAGCAGTTCTCAGAAGAGTTCTCTCAGCCCCACCTACCTCACAGGGTGTCTGTTGTGGGTAGAGGAAGGGAAAGGAGACTGTAAGCTGCTCTGAGACTCCTTGGGGTAGTGAAGGGCGGGGTATAAATCCAATCTCCTCCTCCTCATCGTCATCGTTCCCTTTTAGCAGCTAGAACGTTGGTGGCAGTCTCCTTGGCTCTGCCTGCCTTTGTATTGTCTGACAGGACAGGTGACAAAGACCCCACTGAAGCTCTTCCTCTTCCTGTTCCTTGCAGAGACATCCAGCGCATTGGCATCAGCCTGGTTGGTCACCAGAAGAAGATCCTCAACAGTATCCAGCTCATGCGGGTTCACCTCAATCAGCTCGAGCCTGTCGAGGTCTGACGCACGGAGCATCCTTCCAAACCTTTTAAAGGACCCGGAGATTAAACGAACCTTTTGTTCTAAAAGGGAACCGGGGCAGTAATTGCCCGAAATGCCAGGCACCCATGGGAGGGTGCACGAACTGTTACACTCTATCACGGAACGGAGCCCTTCGAGGCTTTGTGGATTTTTTTTTTCTTTTTTAAAAAAGAAAAATACGTCGAAACACTACCAAACCTGCAGCATTTAGACTTGGGTGGAATTGTACATTGGGGTGGGGTGGGAGTTATTACACAGGGTAGAGCCGGAAAGATAGCTTTGGAGATAGAAACCTACGTGCTGCCCCTTCCATGCCACTGTGTAGGTCCTGACCCCTTGCAGACATGTCTGTGGATCCGCAGGTAGGGCCGGGAGCCTCTCAAAGCGTCACCTGAGCAGCATCCGGCCAGACTGAGTTCAGAAGAAAGCTGACAGCCTGCGCTGACAAAAGAATCCTAGCCGGAGTTTTTCTTCCACGGTGGAATTTGGATGAAGGGGAGAAGTGAGTTGCCACCTTCGATTCAGCTGGTTGTGGGAGACCTTGGATTCCAAGCAGGGGACTTCAGGGGCTCAAAAGAACGCCAGAGTGGGAAGCAAACTGAGATGTGGATTAGGAAGGAAGGGGGCGCCACTTGGACTTGGTGCCTTAGGCACGGAAACATTGGGGATGGACACAGGTATTTTCTTGGTCTCACCATCAGGGCAGAGGGACGGTGGCCTCATAGGTATCAGGAAAGCGTACAAATACGCTGCCGTCAGTGGCTGCCATCAGGTCAGGTCAGTTGAGTTCGGAATGTGGTTTGGAAGGAGATTTCATGGATCTTGAACCCAAATCCCTGTGGGCGGGCAAGAGGGATGGAAAGCGTCTCATGGTGAATGACCACCAAGTCTGTTTTGAAAGCACCAGGATTACTTCTTTTGCAGTTTCCGACTGGCAATTCAGACCACAGGAAATGAAATAAAACATTTGATGGAGAAATCGGAGCGTGCACAAGGCTTTCTTAGAAAATCACACAGATCTCCGGGGTGTGTGTGTGTGACATGAATAGTGAGCTTCTGAAAGCTAAGAGACTGCAGGCTGTTTAATCCAAACTGGTTTACAAATAAAATTTGAGTATATTTTCAACTCTGAGAGATGATCCCCTTAGAATACCAGCGGTTTTGACAAGCCTCTGCATATCTCCTGAAACAGCATCGCTCTAGCAAGATGAGATTGATGCTGCAAGGCTTAAATTACATATCGCGTTCTTTGGATATTTTGGGTTGGAATTAAGAAAGTGTCTTGTGTGTTTTTTAAATGGTTGAAGCCAATTCTGTCAAGGCTTACCCTGTCCCCCACCTGCATACGGGACAAACACTCCTCAAAAGTCTCCTCAGAAGAGGAGTGCCCTCTGGTTTCCATTCTGTCCATGGCTGTGTGCACCTCGGAAGCTCCTGGGGAAGACACCCCCACACCGGCCATCCAGTAGGTTACTGTTCAGATTCACTTAGAACCAGCAGGCAGGGAAAGCCCTGAGTGGGCCTGTTCACCTTCTGCACTTCCAGAGTCTCCCGTGGGAATGGAGGCAGCAGAGGGCCAGAACCAAAGCCTGAAACAGCTGGAGGAGTGATCTTTGGTCATTCAGGCCCTCCCATTCTCCAGCCTCTCTCAGGAGGACAATGTCACTCTATAGATCTTTGCAGGATAAGGGACTTAGCCCTGGCCACGTGAAAGGGTGGGACTCTCAGTCCCCTATATAATCCTGCAGTGGAGCTCCAACTGTCGCTGGTTCAACATCTCCTTTTAACCTGCTTAGGTTTTACCTTCAAGAGTAGATGGTGATTCTACTCCAGCTTTCTAGGGCTTGCCTTTTTCCTATGAAGACCTCTGGTTTCTAGCTCCAGCTGTTGTTTGTAAAATGAAGGAAGAAATCTGTAGAAAAGACCAGGTCTGGTGTTGCCTTTGAGTTTAAGTCCCCTGTCTCCTTTTTGATTAGTGTCAGAAGAGGCAGCTTTTACAAGGTGTCAGGGTGGAGGTGCCCGCTCCATTAAAACCCTTTCTAATACCTTCTTCCCTGTTGGGAGCCGGTCTCCCATTCTCTATGTCCGCAATGCACCACACACGTGTGACATTAAATTAATTGAGGGGGACATTAACTAAGAGGACATTTACTGGAATCAGTTATGAACAGCAGTAAAGACCTGACCATGTTTACTCCCTCAACTTTTTATACGGCTGAGACTATCAAACGAACGAAGGGACCCAGTGACTTCAGGAAGGCCCCAAATATTTTATTCTCTTTATTGAATCCAAAGGTAGAGCTCTTTACCTAGTTTGAAAATGGTTCTGATAAAGCCAATATACACACACGAAAATCCAGTGATTTTCCACACACAGCATCACTGGTTGACAAATGCAAATCCCTTATTGGAGTCACAGCAGGGAAACGGTTAGTACAGTACACTCCTTGCTTAACAGACCAAGAAGATGGCTAGACAGGACTTTCCTCTGTCACAATTCCCCACCTATCCCACTGGTCTAGGATTTCCAGCCACCTCCCCCCCCCCCCCAAGCTGTAAGGTTTTAGGGGATAGAATCTGAGTAACTCAAGCCTGGGACAAAACCTGAGGGATAATGAGGTACACTGGCAGGAACAACAATGTTTGCTGAGCACTACTGAAGTAAAAATTAACCAGGACTTGTGAGATGTTTGGTAGAGGGCAAAAACATCAGCATACCCGACATTTTCTCAGAAAGGTTTAAAGCATTTAAATACAGTGTGTGTGTGTTTGTGTGTGTATGTAAGTGCCATCTGGTTAGTTCTGACTTAATACCGTACTCTGAGGCAATTTAGGTTAATATGAGATCCAGCAAATGCTGCTGACCTAATGTTCCATTTCAGATACCTGTCAGGGGAAACCTAAAGCAAAGGTCTGACATTGCCACTGTTCTTAAATTCACCCTGCTTTTAAAACTAGCCTTTCTCTCTCCCTCATAACTTCTACCCTCTAACTCAACCCTGACCAACTCTGACCACCCCATAAGCCCCCATTCCCATCAGGTCTTGACTTTTTTCCAGTCCAGAGCTGTTATTGTCTGGTTCAGAACACTGCTCCCACTGGCTTTTATGTTGTTTAAGTACATTTTTGATTTCTCATACACTGGACAAATGCAGTTTAAGCTGGAATGGCATATTTATTGTCCTTATGAGAGACATCAGCAACAGCCTCAGAAATCACTTTAAATCCTCCAGAATTCTGTCCCATGCACACTCCCTCCAAATTGTTAGGGATTTCCTGGGGGCTAACTACCACCCCACAGGATTTTTCTTTCATTTTTACCCCACTGTTCTAGGGTCCTAGCAGGTATACAAAAAGGTCTGAGGGGATAGAATTTGGGCCTCCTTAGATCATGTTGTTTCTCTACCTGTCGCATCAGTTTACCCCTTGGTTTACCCCCATGGACTGGGGGAGGCAATTTTAGATTAAGTTTACAAAAGCCAAGGGAAATACAACTCAGGAAGTAGATATCTTAAAAGGGAGAAACAATGTTTATTATCAACAATTCACTGTTGTTCATGCTCAGATCCTTCGAGACATCACAACTATGAACTATATTCAGTAGCTTCTCTCAGAGAAGAGGAAAGGGAAAGAAGGTTCTTGTCTTATGTGTGGGAATTCAAACATAATTAAGCTGGTCTGAAAAAACCAGGGCAGCACATGAGAAAATTGCATAAGGCATTCCTCACCAAGACCATTTCAATGTTCCCTCTAAGCTCCACAGTGCTGCGAGCAGAAATTTTACCTCATGAGTGAAAAAAGCTAGTAGCATTAAAGTTCCGAGCGAGTCTAAGTTTAGCTATCGCATAAATTAGGGTTTTTTTTAAAGATTGCTTCCATAACCTTCTAAAAATCTCAGAATAAACTCTTTTTAAATTATATTTGAACTATATTTTAAGAAAAATTTAAACATTATAAGAGAAAACAGAATCAAGTCAAATCTATGGGCCCCAGGAGGAGGTCTCTCCATCTTCCATTGTTTCCAATGGATGAGGAAAAAATGCCTTGTAAGCTGAAGCAGGAATCCCTGTGCTGGTTGTTAAAATGTTGTGTGCCCGCACCCCCTAGCACAGCTTAGAGGGAGTTCCTAGGTAAATCTTTGTCTCTCACCACCTAGCAATTCATACGGCCATTCGACTTCTAGCATGGATCTACTCAAGTGTCTTCGGAGTGTGGCCTGTACAGAACTTCTGCTCTGTGGATACAAGGATTTTTCAGAAAAGCTGTACTAGGCTTGCCAAGTTCCCCCGGGGGGCGGGGAAACCCCCACCCCAGAGGCCCATTCCCCGCTGCCAGCGGATCGGGCCCCAGGAGGAACCCCACCCCTGCGTGCGCGTCACCCGGAAGTGACGTGGCGACGCCGGGCACGCTGGGGGTGGGGCCACGGTCATCTGAGGGAAAACTATGGTTTTCTTTTTTGCCGGACGGGAGTCCCCCGCTCCGGAGGAATTTCCACTTGGCAACCCTAAGCTGTACATTCACAAGTGACATCCCAGATATGACCTGCTGCAGCAGGTTCACGAACAAAAGGACTTTTCTAAGTCAGAAATGACATCAATACTAGAGTAGGAATGCACATAAATAATGCTATGGTTAAGATCCCCCAAATGGTGTAAGGTAGTTTCAAAAGGAAGCCGTGTTGATTTGTAGTAGAACCGGGGGTCATTTCCTGCAGGAGCGCACAGGAGCAGAGCTCCGGCAGTAAAGAGCCCAGGGGGTGGGCACATGCATCATGCCCCACCCCCTGCTCCCAGAAGACCTCGGTCAGAGCAAGAAGCAGCCAGGTAAATTGCAGAGCCCCCCCGCCCCCTCGGTCCAAAGCAGTCCAGTGGCACCTTTAAGACCAAGTTTTATTCAGGTACAAGCTCTCCCTCCTCTGTGAGGACAGATCTGCACGTTCCTCCCCCCAATAGCTAGCAATCCAAAACAGCCCAGTGGAGCCTGAGCGGTGGGTGATGCCTTCTGACACACTTCCGGTGATGTCAGGGGGTGGCATATGCAAATGAGTTATGCTAATAAGCTCCTGCACCTCTTTTTCTACTAAATGACCCCTGGGTAGAACAGCTAGCTTTGAGTCCAGTAGCACCTTAGAGACCAACAGGACGGGGGGGGGGGGGTTATAGGTTTTCTACAGTCAACACTTCCTCTGTCAGATACAAATACTGCAAGTTATGAACAGAACAGCATCCCAAGAGTATTGGCACAAGAAGTAACAAGGGATCTCCGAGACTCATTGGAGAGGGGTTTGATACTGATCTACTACTGTGCTGCACATCCCCAGCATATGTGCAGCAGAGGGTAAGTTACAAAACAGTCCACAGAACGCTTGTGCATCTCTTGCAGAGTGTGGGTTTGAATGTATAGCTACTTTAGTGCCACTTGCAAAGAAGGAAAGAGGCCTTTTCAATTTTGAGCAGCAGCCCTTTCATGAAACTATTTTTAAACATTGACCCACACGGGCCCCAGACAGTGAATGCAGATGTTCTTTTCTATTTATTTAACAAGGTGCATGGACTTCCCCACCACCACCACCACTATGTATGCAAAAGTTTGCTGGGAGAGGGAGGGCCCCACACTCAGCAGCACTCCACTTGTATGTTTGTGGGGCTCAGGCTGTGGTCAGACTGGAGCCTTGGCATGATATGGCAGTGCCTCTAAGTGCTCCAATTTACATTGTTACGGGGAAGATCCAGCTGTGGCTTTCCCCCCCCCACACACACACTTGCTCCATGGTCGAGCGTCCACATTACTGTGGTGCCTCAACCTCAGAGCATGTTGTCTCTTTTAAAAATAAGGCTGGGCATGCACATAGGCGCTTAGGTGCACATAGCCAAGAACTTGAGGGGGGGAACTACTTGGAAATGGATCTGACTCCCCACCAGTGTTCCCTCTAAGCTGAGTTAGTGTGAGGTAGCTCACAGTTTTTTAAGCCTCCGTCTTACACATTTTTTCCTTAGCTCAGGGAGGATGGCTCCAGAGCAAACCAATTCATGCAGCAGCCAAATCGCCTGCTCACAACTTTAATGC